TTTCTAAAAAAAATCAAACGAAAGATTATAGAGAAGAAATCGAAGAAAAGGATTTTAATGATCTTATCCACACAGAACAGAACAAAAAGAGGGATTCTAAAAACTCTCGCTACCAGTTGTAACGGGGCAAAACTGCGCCTCGTATACGGATTGTATTAAATCTACTTAGACTTACGTAGTGAGTTTAGATAGGGAAGACTTAGGGAATGGACGATGTCTGATGGGGGACAGAGGGCACAAAGGTATTCTCGAAAAGATAATTCTTAGAGAACTGGTTCTTAATTGCAAAGAAAGAGCGGCTCTATTTATACGCAACAACATAGAGCAGAGACTTTGGAAGTAAGAGAAATGCAGTAGGTCAAGAATGGGGTTCCCACTAGTTAGCTGGTATGGGGACCCGTTCGGCCGACACTCTACCCTTGTATATCTGAGCTTGTCCTCCTTGCTTGAGGCCTTTAGCCAGAAAGGTGCATCATCGTTTATTGAAGATGACCCCTTCAGCTATTCTTGAGACGCTTGTCTTAGGACGAGCGTCTCTTCACTTCTAAGCGATCTCATTGTTAGAGTCATCTCTAAGCTAATCCACTCGAGGCTCTAGCCTTCGAGTGGAGTCTTGTCATTCCCTGCATTCATCTTGGGTAGACAAGTTCTATGTCTGGCTCAGCACGAGTTGATCAGTGATACCCTAGTATTACTTCCTGTACGTATTCAGTACAGCTGTATGTACAGGAACCTCTTCTTAGCCATACTGTAGCCCTGCTACATAAATGAGAAAGCTTGAGTTCGATATGAAAGCATGAGTAGAACAAAGAGAAGCCAAAAATGATTCACTCGCCAGCAACTTTTGATGGATGATGAGCTGGGTGAAATCCCACCGCGCCCAGATGTCCTCGTACCATGTCACTGTTCCCCGTGATTGGGTTTGAAAATGTGCGCTCTTCGTGTAAATATTCGGCAAGATATCGTAGTTTGGAACATTGTTTTGAAGACATAGAATCGAATGGCGTTTGACAAATCAGAGCAACTACCCTCAAAGAACGCTTGTCCGTTAAGACCCACAGTTTGTTGTCCTTGATGATCATAGCTGGCTCTTGCCCAAGAAGTGGCTCGTCCGTATACTTTTCCTTATCAGGGTTATCTTCCACACGAACTTGGTGAATGTGTCTTTGTAAGTCTGGTCGATTGAGGACTATCTTGACATGGCGTGTTTTTCTGTGATGATTTCGTATCCTCTTTTGCGCTGCTTTTATCAGTGCGGGATCCTTCAAAATGCTGGATGAGTTCCTTCAAAAAATGTAAAGAAATGTGAAACACAGCACACATCACCCGTCTCAGCTTCTGGTGGCTGATAACGAAGCCTTTCTTCCTTCGCTCTTTCACGATGATGCTGCCGTACCATTGGGTTGCGTATGGGGAGACTATAGTGGCTCTCAAACCTGACCCAGTTTCAAAAAACCGCGGTTGCCCCAGTGAATTTTTGCCTGGGAGCTGTCAACAAAGGTCAACGTGATACACAAAGTTACTGCCAAAAAACAACTGGGTCAACTGGGTTTTTTGAAAACCGGGGCAGGTTTGAGAGCCACTTATGTAGGATTTGAAGACAAGACCGACGCTCAGCTGTAACTTTAAGTCGCTCCGAGATGCGAACGATGTGGAAACGTGCTGGCTTCCGCTGAGCGTGCAGCCGAGCATATCATGTTACTGTTTACATATTCCAAATTCTGTTTTTTGACAAGTCACGTGACGGTCTATTTGAGGTTTAAACCGAGCCTATGTACATAATCCGTTGGTGAGCATAATATTTGAAGGTGATGTGGCTTGAAAGACTCCTGGCCATCCAGATCCTAAACCAAGTGAACGTTTCACTTTGAAAAACTTATCAGAGGATTCAAATCATCCATTAAACCAGCGATAAGGAAAACAAGATTATGGAGGACACGATGAATAACAAGAATACCTTACCGATAGAGATCATCATCCAAATCTTGAAAGAATTTGTAAAGAATTTAGAAAGAATTCCCGCCAGGGCTGGTTCACTCGATTCAGGACCTGATTTTACAAAGTCGTCGTATATCGAGCTAACCAATTTAAGATTGATATCTCGAAATTGGTCTGAAGCTGTTATACCGTTTTATTATCAAACGATCGTTATATGGGATTCGAAACGCGCTCAGACGATTTTAGACAATTGGAAAGCTGATTTATTTGAACCTCACTTTTCTTGTCCTGTTCGGCAACTTAAAATCCTAAAGCTTCGGTATTCGGAATACCAATCAGATCAAGCTGAGAATGATGAAATTGGTGAAGCTTTTAACTCAAACTTTGACATGGTGACTCTCTTCGAGGTGCTAACCCAAAGTTCTTTCGATTGGAATTTTTAGGTCAAACAGCATCCACTCCAGTTTCAATGAATCAATTAGCAACATTGATAGAATTACTTGGTAAAAAGTTGAAGACTTTGAGCCTCTGCTTTGTCTATCATAACAATATAGGTATTTCGCCTCGAGTGATCAAAGCCATTGAGAACATTGAAGATTTGAAATCGTTCATGATCTTTAGCGGACACGAAGATTCAAAATATAGAACTCGTAATTTAAAATCAATAACAGAATTATTCTCAGCAATGCCCAAAATCGAATGGTTAAAATTTATGTGTGGTGCAATAAAAAAATTAGATTTCAAACCTACGGCCTTGACCAATTTACGTTGCCTTTCTTTTTCTTATGACAAGAATTCAAAAGTGTTATCAAATATCATTCGAACTTCAAAAAGCACTTTAAAATTCATTGAACTTAATTCTGCTTTTGAAGATTGTCAAGATTTGATTCAAATTTTTGAACCGATTCAAGATACATTAGAAGGGCTGGGTACAATGTCATTTAGTGAAGATCTACCTGCTGAATTTGCAAGTTTAGATTTTCCAAAGTTGAGAGTCTTGATAGACCAGTCTACCCGTCCTTATCGTGTAATGAGAGCAACAAATGAACATGTTCTAGCAGCTCCAATGTTAAGAAATGTTAGAACAGTGGTCACAGCCATAGAATCTACTACTTATAGGTCTTATTGGGATTTGACAGATTTATTAGTTGGTGTGGAAGAAGTACCCAGCTTTAAACATTTTGTTTTGACCAAAGAAGCATGGATTCAAGATTATATTGTGATTCCTCCTAAATTTATGGAAGACTACAAATCTCGTGGAGTTCAATTGCATGTTACAAATCAAGTTTCATGTGATGAACTGATGGTCCGTATTTCTTCTTCTTATCACACATTAAGCATTTCAAGAGTCTAAAGCTCTTAAATTTTTGTACTGATCTCTGCGTTTAATAACTAGGAATTGGATCTTAAGCTGAACGGACCGATGAACTAGATACTCAAATCTGATCATCGAAACTCCAGCCTCAGCACCCTTCACAATATGTTCAGCAGTCAGCCAGGATAAGTTTCTTGAATAAACGCAATGATTGGAAACTGCTTTCCTATGCTCTTGAGCAATGAGACAGTACAAAGATTTTGATAAAAAATTGTAGTCATTGACCTTGCGAGTCGCAGTCGGTGTCAGGTTGTATTAATTTGGGCGACATATGTAAACCTTGAGGTAACCTTTCTGAGATTCTTGATTTCGGAGTTACCGGGATAGCAAACACGGGAAATCCTTGCCACAGCCTGCCACAGCATTGCACCTTCATTTTAAGCGTCCAGATAAGACCTTTGGTCTTATCGGCTGTTTTTGGAATCATGATATCCATATTCAGATTGAGAAAACCAAAGCAGGACAAATTGGATGAATCCGTCTCAAATTTATATGTATGTACGACAATTTCAAACACAAAGCTAGGACTCGGCACCAGGAGATCACCGAGATGAGGTTGTGGTGAAGGCATAGAATCATGGCTTTCTAGTTGATACCAAAGTAAAGTCCAGGCCTTTTGTTCGTTCGTCAAGGTCATGAGAGTTATCATCAATGGACTCTTGGATAAGGTTTTCATGAGCCCGTTCGGAAGTAGACTTTGTCATGATTGATAGGATGACTTGTTTACTTTTCCGTCCTTTTGCGATTTAGAAGCTCCAGCGGCTTTAAAGGAAAAGATTGAAGCTATAGAGATCGTTCCTCAGTTCCTTGTCGATAGCATTTTTCATTTGATAATCGAAGTTTACAAAAACGATTCGGGTAAAATCAGATTTTCATCTCACCTCAACAAGTCTTCTTCAACCAAAATCTTAACTACGCATACATTTCCGCAAACTCAGCAAAGTCCCACGTTGACGCCGTGTCGCAGCGTGTCGGCGGCGTGGGACTCTGTTGACCTTGCACCTTCAAACCATTTCGTAAATAAGTTTCACCACTTCCTTTCAAATCACCCTCACAATAACTTCAAATCAGCTCACATTTGAGTCATTCTCAACATCATTTTCAAGATTCCTTTAGAGTACATAGTCTCAAATCAGTGTCATTAGTCTACATAATCAACTATCAAGTTCCTCTTTGTCCCGCTCAGGTTCCAGGTACGGGTGGGTGAAT